CCCCCGCGACGGGCCTGCAGCCGCCCGCAGGAAAGGCCCAGGCCGGCGCCGCGGAGCCAGAGCCCCAGCCCGACATGAACCACCACCAGCAGCAGCAGCAGCCGCAGCACCAGAAGCCCGGGGAGCAGCAGCTGAGCGAGCCCGAGGACATGGAGATGGAAGGTGAGGCGGCCCAGGCGGGCGGGCGGCCGCGCTTCCCCCGCGGGCTCCCGGGCCTGGGGCCTTGCTCCCGCTGGGCGAGGAGACGTGGAGCGCAGCGAGGGGCGGCCGCTGGGGCCGGGCCGGGGTCCCGGGGGTCGGGGCCTAGCGGGGCACAGCTCCCTGCTCGCGTCCGAGGGGTCTGCGGCCGCCCCCCTCTCCTGTGTTGTTGACTCCAGGAGCCGCGCGGCGGGGTTCTGCCTTGCAGCCCTTTCATTGTATGTGCACAGCGCCAGCCACGCGAGATGCTCGCCATTTTTAATTGGGAAGGGAGCTGAGGGTTATTTACCGCAAACGCATCTGGCTGGGGCCTAGCAGGGAGCCTTGTGCCTCGGCCCCGGCCATGTGGAGCCGCTCGGGCCCTGATCCTGCACAGTCATGCAGTTGCACACGGGTGTGTTTTGATGGGGAGGAAGGCCCGGTTCCAGGCTTCCTCTCTGCTGCTGCCCCAAACGCTGGCAGGCGGATCTGCCCGGGAGACGATGCTGGGCTGCGGGGATTAGTAATCTTGGTGTTTAAGATTTCACCGGGATGTGACCCTTTGCGTCCCAAACATGTTGGGAGGACACTCGAGAACAGAAACTTCCGCGGGGACGAATGACTCTGCCGCACTCTTGGTGTTGTTTATAATAGTAAACGCTTTCTGACACGATGATTAAGCAGCATGAAACTGCCTCGAGCGTCCTAGCAACAATAACAAGAAGGTTCGCCGTCGGAAGCCCGTTTGGTGGTGAGATATTTAAGCAGTGGATGTAGCCGATATAAAATCTGTAACAAGTCTTGGATTGGATCTATAATGATCAAAACTATGTTACTGGCAACTAGTCATAGTTACTACTGTTGAGTAGGGCTGTTGCATTTTTAAGAGAGGTTTTCCATGAAGCTTTAATTTTTTTTAGACAAAAAGATTTACTTTGAGCGTATTAAGGCATGTTACATGCTAGTGCAACGTCTGCTTATTTGTCGAAGACCTGCCCCCAAATTGCTGTACACAGTTTAATTTTTCTTGTAATCTCAAGAGAGAGAGATGAATGAGGTGAGTCAGTTTAAAAAAAACCTGATCACGCCTGCTTGTATGTATACACAAACATTAACATCTTGTATGTATATAATGTGTTTTTCAAGAGAAAATGTGATAGCCTCTAGCAACCAGCTTTGCTTTCAGTATTCGTGTCCAGTCCTCTCTGGAGTATTGACATTGCTTAATGTTTGATTTTTATGGGCTTGATCCTGTAGCGTACCCTGAAAGATGCTGAAGTGCTTTGAAATCCCATTAGCTGATATAATTTAGGGTGCTCAGCACAGTTCAGGATTGAGTACCACAAATGGGGGAAACAGAATATTTTAAATGTATGCTTAAGCCTTTTACTGACCCTAGTGATTTTACCCTAAACTTTCCCACTTAAAATCTATGCATATGTTAACATTTTGAAATTGCAGGGCAGCAGTATTCCAAAAATCTGTTCATGAGTCTTAAGTAGGCAAGTTAGTCATGTATCTGGTTAAGACTAATATGGACATGCTAACCTGTTGGTGACAGCTTATTTAGCCTTCCGTTAATACAAAAATGTTTGGTCTCCATTTGTTTTTGGACTGTTTGGCTTCATAAGAAAATAAGGGTTAGCTGTACTAGGCTAGGCTTTGGGACCCTTTTACTGAAAAACTGATGTTTGCTTAGCTTACTGCTAAGAACAATGCTCAACTTTCTCATATGCGGGTGTGCATACATTCTCGATGAAAGAAAATTGAATGTTTTTGGACGCACAATATTTAGTAAAAATACAGCTGCCTTATTTCTGACATTAACTGCCCTTCTCCTTTTGAGAGATCACACTAGATTTAGGAGGTATGTGAAGAATGTAGGGTGGAAAACTGCACATCTTGATTTTAAATTATGTGGCGCTAACTTAACTTTTATCCACCCAGCGTAGCCGCACAGTTTTAAATCAGAAGAGTTACTGTTACAGAACTAATACTGACTTAAGGGAATTATATTCTGCCAAATCAGTTTGACTGGGATGCTTTTTGGGTCCTTGCCCTCTCTGTCCTGTTTCTTTCTCTTCTGTGACCACTTGACACTTTTTTCTTCCTTCAGTGTTTCCAAGCTGCAGAGTATACATAGTAGAAACAGTGGTCTGTGTTTAAAAATGGGGGTGAGGATGAATAAAAAAAGAAAATGACTTTTATATTTGAGAAGGGGAAAAGGTGCAATCTAGGTAGTAATATAGGAATAATAGGCCTGGGTGAGGAGTAGGTATCTGCTTCATGGCCTCATATGCTCTGCAGTCTGATAGTACTGTACTGAACAGAATGATTTGGTATTTTGAGCTTCACTGTACAGGTTGTCCTGATTCTAGCAGCCCATGCTTGTGACTTGCCAACCCAAACGACTGTTTACAGCCATCTTTGTCAGGAATCTGGAACAGGGCTTCAGCGGGCACCTCTGGAGGCATAGCAAGACACCTTAGCTTCTTTGCCATTGCATCCTTCCCTCGGGAATTACAGCAAAGTAAAATACTGCAGTTTAGTAAATGTTAACCTTTTAAGTGTACCTAATGCAAGGACAGGAAATAGTTTTCCTTTACTGCAGGTAGCTTGTCATGTTATAAAAAAAATAAAATACTTGTGTTGTTTTATTGCATTCAAGTGAGGCTTGCTTTCCTGGGGTCGGGGCATAACTTTATAAAAAGCATATAACAGGATAATCTGGTTCCTGATATGTAGCTCCTATATAACTTGCCTCTAACCTAATTAAATTTAAATCCAGGTGCTTTCAAGGCACTTGTTTGCACAAGGCTTAATTGCCGTGTAATCCATAGAATGATTTCACTCCCTATCTAGAAAAACTGTTTCACAGACAAATGGGTATAGAAGATTAGTCTGATACTTACCTTAAATTTTCCTTTATGGATTTCACTCCTGTATCCTTAGTGGCATTCCTGTGCATCGTGGCAAGCAAGCCTCTCTTTCTGGATGGAGTATCTTTTTATGTTTGTGGACTACCTTATCAAATGTTGCTTGAAATTTGGTCAGTTCAGTTTGAGTATTTCTATTTTTTTTTCTCATATGTCAGTTGCTTTAACCTTCTGATGATTATTGTAGGGAGGGAGGTATGAGCTCCTGCTTCTTAAATTTTTTTTTTTTTTT